GAAATATTGTTTTCTGAGAATTGCTTAGGAATTTTTTTTTTATTTAATTCAAATCAACGTTTGGAAACAATATTTCTGTGAAAATACTCACAAAACTTATTCTACCTATTCTCTGGGAGAAAACTAACTTATATTCTAGCAAATTCGAATCAACTTGTTCAATTATAAATTATCTAATGAAATTCTATTATCTGCTCATTTGCGGAGAATTGATTAATAGATAACTGAAAACTACTGTGTTGTAAAATCTGTATCATTGTTACAACATAGAAGAAAAATGTTCATTCTCATTTCAAACCAGAAATTTTGACAAATAAATACAATTTTGAATGTCTTGATTATGTAACAACTTCAGAAAACCAACTTTTTTTTTTCACTATCCAATCATATTCATGATTTCATCTCATATTTCACTATCGACATACCTATTTATAACAATGCTTCTCTACTGATCACACTATAACACACATTTTATTCCAAATATTTTTTCCAAACCTCAATCGATTTCAATCTTCTCAGGCACATTCCTCTTTTTCCTTTTCTTCTCAAAATTCCTATTTCTTATTGTTTCAAAAATCAAAATTATCGACGGCTTACTGTCATCTTTCATCACATTTCAGTCTGACATCCTTCTACAGCATGTTTTTCTTCCTCATGAATTTGATTTTAATAAGTATCAAAATGAATGTTTTCTAATTTGAACTTCCAAAATATTAATGTGACAATAATAATTTTGCTCTCTCTTTTCAAATACACTATATAACCAAGACTGAATACATTACTAAAATCAGAATAAAGCTGTGACAAATGAACTTTATTTATTTGTTTTGACCGAAATAGCAAAAACTAGAAAATATGCATACATTCAGGAAAAGTTGAATTTCATAGCAGGTTTTTTTTTAATCATATTTCTATACATCACATATTTAATATCATAACAATATATTAGATTCAATAATGCATGTATAATGAACTAATGAAACATAAATGAGGTTTTGCTGCTCCAATTGATACACATGGTATATAGATAAATATCAATGTTTTGTGTACAAGAGTCCTTAATAATTGAACTTCTTCTTTTCATAGTCTTGAAGGTATTCCTCCATTCACAACAACATTTTCACCGGTTATATAGGACGATTCTTCTGACGCTAGAAATGCTACTAAATTGGCCACTTCCTCAGGTGTGCCGAATCTGAAAAAATCAAATAAGTTGGAGCTGTTAGTCAGATTAATTGAACTTTCTATCGGTATATCTCCTGATTCACAGTTGCAACTGTGGCAGTAAGTCAGTGGATATATATTCCATTCATTGTTTGCTCGCTTTTCCATTCGTGATCTGTTGATACACTATTTGGGGATTGAGAAATGAATCGATGGGAGGTTTCGTGAATTTTCAGAACATCTTGAACAATGTATCATTCTGAGATATAATATATAAAACTATAGAACATTCATATTTACATGCACATAAAGTTGTTCTGAAGTCAGTTGTCCTTCATAAAAGACCATTGGACTTCAGGCAACTGTGTTTAGTAGTGAATACGAAAGAGAATCAATCTATTCTGCAGCCATCAATTCAGACCACTGATTTTGAATGAGTTGATGGATGAGCTGAAGGCTCCACAAAATGTCATCATAATACCTTCTGAAAATCACTAGTGAAGACTATCATGAAGGAGATAATATTCTGATTCAGAATATTTCTGAATAACAATTGCGATCCGAAGATCAATTATCATAACAAGAGGCATACGAGAAGAAAGCGACGTACTTATCTGAATCCTCCCAATTGGCACACGTGCGTTTTTCCAACGTATTATCAACGTAGAACGAGTTGAATGGACGTTCATGGTTGAGAAATCCAACGTTGAAATATAGCTGAAGTATTTGAAGTTGAATCCAAACGTTTTTCCGAAACGTTAGTTAGACGTTCGAAATAAACGTTTCTTTAACGCTAATTCGTCACCAATTTCTGACCAAGAGTGGAAAAAGAACGCGAATGAAACGTTTCTCAACAACGTTTTCCTTTTGTCATTCGTCAACGTGTAATATGAGTTGACGTTGAACTATATTATATATTGTAGTTGAACTTTTCAAGGAAAACTGACGTTTGTACCAAATGTTTGTTGAACTATTTGAATAAAGTTGAATCTAAACGTTTCATGAACGTATTGAGAACGATATGTCCTGACGATCTGTTGAAATTATGTTTTTATCAAACGTTTCTCCGAAACGATAGTTAGACGTTCGAAATAAACGTTTCTTCATCGCGTATCTGTCAACATTTTCTGACCGAGAGTGGAAGAAGAACGTGAATGAAACGTTTTTCAACTGTTATTTGTCAACGTGTAATATAAGTTGTCGTTAAACCATATTCTATATATCATCCGTCATTTGGAAACGTGTGTTTTACATGGGTACAAAACTACTTTCCATCGATCCGGCAAAGTCCTCACGGTGAACTAACGTTCATTGAACTATTGAAATGGACGTTACTTGAGCGTTTTTTTTGAAGTATTCGATAACGATTGGTAGAAAAAAAGCGTGTAATATATGTTTCCTAACAAAGTTAGATAATCGTCATTAGACAACGTGTATTCATTCCGTTCACATCTTGCCGACGCTCACACCAAGAGTTTGGGTACAAACACGGGTAGTCGAGCAAATTTGAATAGGGATACGTGAAGATAGGAACGTCACTGAGAAGGAAGTGGAACGAAAAAGTAATACATGGACACAAATCAGGTTAGGGAGTAAAATAATAATTGCAGTTATAATGAAAATGATAGTGAATTCATTGTATGCACAAAAATAACGGAAAGTAATCTAGAACCGAAAATTCGACGACTCAAAATCGATTCGAAGTTAACGTTGAAAAATCGGATATTTTCAACTTGTTCGAATCGTCATTTTCATACGTCCAATACACGTTGAATAAACCTTCATTATCGACAATTATGAAACGTCGAAACATTACGTTTATGTCACGTTGATAGTCAAGTTGAAAGAACGTTCTCAAAATAAGTTTATTTCTAGTAGGTAATTTGGTTAAAAGAAACGTTTTATCGTGCGACATTTTTCCGTTGAATCAACGTTTGAGAATACCCCTAATAAACTTTCGGTTTCAAACCATTTAGCAACGTTTCTTCAACGTCACTGTGCTCATTGGGCTTCGTCGACCATCAGATCATGAATTTGAGAAATGGGATATGACTGCAGGAAAATTCGAGCAATGCTAGCGATACCTCTTTGAATTCAGAATTGATCGCCACTATTTCTGATTATAATGTAATAATTCTGTTAGTTACCTCCTCTACATCTTATATACCAACAGTTCAACGATTATAAAATGAAGAAAAAATTAAATAATCGTAAACCAGACGAATACAATTAAAATTTCTAACGAGATCATAAGTAGCGTTGATCGCGCAGATCAGAACATGAGGTTTTATATGACTATTTCACTCATTCCATAATCTAACCAATCACAAGCGAGAGATAACGTGTGCGTGCTTTTCGCAAAAACAATAGCTGTCTTTCAATTTTATCACCATTGATGTTTTCAACGATGTAACCATGTCCAAGATACAATGCAGAGACGACAGGACCACAATGAATATCAAATAGATTCGTTATTGGAAGAAACAAATATGGATGTCATTCAATGCACAACATCTTGAGAACCCTATTATTTGTTACTACTGTATTGTACATGTAAATCTGGATTCTCGCTCCATTAGGTTGTTGTGCTCATGTGGGTAGTTCTATTTGGTACATGAAATATTCGAGACATCAAGAAGAGTTCCGAAACTCATCGTCTCTGCCTTATTGAATACAGTTGAAGATGCTAGAGATAGGAATAATGAATGAAAAATAAATGTAATCAGATCATTAATGACTTCTTCATGGATTTTTGCTGTTTTTGAAGAATTCTCTGAAGGAAGGATGGATAAATTGATTTATTAAGTAGTTTGGCACCAAGTTCTCCTGAATGAGCTACTTTCCTTCATCTTTTTCATCTTTTTATGATTATATGCAGGTATTTGTGGTCGGGAAAGCGATAGCTTCATTCCGACTGGAAAACTGTCTGTTCTGCACATAAACAATATGTAACATATGACCCAGTCTTCAATTTTCATATAGATACCACCCTCATTGGGTCAAACGATGCACAAATATCCGCATCCACAAAATATAGTCTCTGATTGGAAGCAAATCCGGATAGTGAACGATCCTCGCCCAATTCAATAATTCTAAGACCCAAGCAACAATATTTTCGGAAAACGCCATCAACAGTGCGACCCATGTGTCAAGGTCTGTGCCTATCAATTCATATATCTATAGCAATGCTTGATATCATATAATGGTATATCGAAGACTGAAATCTTTGGTACGATAATACACTACACTGTTTTACCACTAACCAAACCGATTTTTTAACGCCTCGACACGTGTTTCGCTAACTATGTTAGCATCTTCAGGAGAACATTAAAACTGCGTTTCAATCTTGCATTGATGAAATCAGCTATTCAGGAAGAATCTAAAAATACAATGAAATACAGGGTGTTCCATTTCAAAATATCAAGTAGTACTCTGTAGATCATTTGTTCCGAGCACCCTGTATTTTCAGATGCAACGGGAAAAAGAATTCTGAATAACCATCTCAGATTATTCTCCAAATTCTTAAATCGGTTCAAAAATAAGTGAGCTAGAGGAGGGGACATTTATGGTGAATCCCCCTATACATAGGTCTGAAACATTCTGACATTTGTAGGACCTAGCGGGAAATACTAGCAAGATCCCGTCTTGTTAGGGTACCAGGTGGTTCAAAAACTGAAAGGGGGGAGAAGAAAGGACTCGAGTTGGGCACTGCATATAAAACCCCACACTATATATAGGTACCTTTTCATAGGACATACGATATCGAGTTCATCTTTCTTATCCCTAAATATTTCGCCAAATGCTGTCAACACCGGCCCCGGAGCCACGCTATTCACCGTTATACCGTGCTTTGCCAATTGCCTGGAAGACATTTTCATGAGTCCCAGTAGCGCCATCTTGCTGCTTATATATGCTCCCAGGTAGTCGAGATGAAAGTAGACGGTCCCGGTATTCATGTAGATGATTCTGCCAGCTTGGCTCTTCTTGAGAAGTGGAAGAGCTTCTTTTGTCAAAAGGAATGGGGCCTTGACGTTTACTTCGAATGTTTTGTCCCAGGCGCTTTCTGGACTGTCTAGTATTTCACATGGAACGGGATTAGCACCTAATGAAAAAGTTAGACTTATGAACGAACAGCTCATTGAAATAAGACATGATATATATTTTGTAAAGATCATCAGTTCTTTATATGTATAAAGTTTTTGGATAGCTTTTCATTCGCGCATCAAGAATTATTATTAAACGTGACGCAAGACCGAAGCATTCGATGTTCTTATAAGCGAATAAAATGTGAGGTGCTTGAAGCAACAGGTGGGACCACTCGAATTTTCGACGTTTTTCAAAATGCGATAACTTTTTTTTTTCAAGTCAACCGACTTCCAATCGCAATGCATCGTTCAGAAGATGAGTCCTTCTGTTCAAGATTCATATTTCATAATCTGTCAAAGTTTTTCAGCCTCGGATATCTCATTACACACTGACATTTTTGAATTGTCATCATTCTCAGATTTATGTATCATTACAATATATCGTCCACAAACTGGAGACATGAAGAATGTATACAAATTTTCTCAGGTAAGTACTCCTGAATAACGTGACTCAGAAATATACCTCCATTATAATATCGGGAGATCTCAATATAATTTTTTTGCATAAAACATGCCCCCAATATGAAAACGTATAGATCTTCTAGACTCATATGAATTCAACATGATCATTCCATGACTTTTCCAACAGAGTTAACGATTTTGGAATCTCAGATCACGCCAGCTAAATATCCAACTGGCATCAATACAACAAAACTATCGAAAGAGAAGGTCGAGTATTCTCCTCATTCAACATCAATGAAATTTATTCAAAAATGGGATCCATGGATCTAACTGATAAATCAACCAACATTGGACAAACATTCACTGAATATTCATGTGTATTTCATTTGTATTTTGTTTTTGTTTTTGTTCTTTGTTTACGACGTGTCACATATTCAATTTGAATCAAAAATGACGAAATAAACTTGAACTTAAACTCTAGAATATCAGTTCTAAGAATTGAATAGGCGTAACCGCAATTTTTTCTTCGAATAAATATGTCTTGTTCAGTAACGAATTGCAAAAATTTCAAGAATTACAGTTACCATGTATTTGAGTTTGCCACAAACGAGAAGACCTCTCAAGTATTCGTTGAAGCTTCAAATTCCAATATTCAATTCATGGAAATACATTCAATGAGCATTATGAAACAAATTTGTGTCTCAAGTTTTTTGTTCAGCTGTTCAATAATTAGACAACTCAAAACAATTTCGTAATTTTATAGATAAGTCAGTTGCAGGGGCTTGGATTATTCAGACGTAAGTATTTGATATTGAAGAAACGGTGACATTCCTGAGTTGATATAAAACAAGAAACCTAAATATGAACGTTTTTTCTATCACTCGGAAGGAAAGCTTGTTGAATAAGGATTTTGAGCAAGTGATTACAACAATTCCAACAATCAGCATAACATCTCATTATAAAAGACTTGCCATGATCATGACAACTAACAGTGATCAACTGTCAGTATTCTACAAGAATCATGAGGTTCTATTTTCTGCTCCTTAGTGACGTGTAAAATGCAGCTATCTATTGAAAAATATGGTGAAACCGCAGCCGTGGGACTTGATATCTCCAAGCCATTCGATCGAGTCTGGCACCACGGACTCCTTGCCAAGCTTGCGTCTTATGGCTTGCCTACCTAGCTATGTTCTCTGCTAACTAGTTTCCTCTCAAACAGGTGTCTCCATGTAGTGGTCGACGGAGTTTCATCTGACTCTCCTATCATAAATGCTGGTGTTCCGCAAGGATCAATTCTAGCACCAACACTATTCCTACTCTATATCAACGATTTGTTCGAAGCAACTTCATGTCCAGTACACAGCTTCGCAGATGATAGTACCCTCCATACCACCTCCTCTTCTAGGCCATAAAGCACAGATCCGACCTGTCCTGGAATACTGTTTCCATATTTGGGGTGCAGCACCCAAACATATCCTGTAACTGTTGGATTCTGTCCAAAAAAGGGCAATTCATCTCGTGGGTGATGCCTCGCTCGCAAACTCACTCACTTCCCTGGAACACCATAGAAAAGTTGGCGATCTGGCTTCATTTAATAGAGATTTTCATGGACGATGCTCTTCTGGAATATCAACAATTGTTCGTTCCTTGACAGTCCTCGCAAGATCAACTCGTCGAGTTGAGGCTTCGCACCCCTTCGTGATCACTTTGGAGACTTGCAGAACATCTATTTCCAAAGAGTCGTTCATCCAACGAACAGCGAGGCTCTGGAACACATTGTCAAGGGAGATGTTCCCCGAGGCATATAACCTCCAGAAATTTTGGGAAGAACACCAACTCCTACCTTATTACCCTTGGTTCTTACGATGTTTTCTGAACATTACAGAGGATACCCCTCTTCGTGGGAACCAGAACATGAAACAAAACTACACCATGAATCAGCTGATATTATGTTGCAGCTACACCAACAAATTTCAAATGAATGAAAGAATTGAATTATCAAAGAGGAAAAATGCAATCTGAATTTCAAATTGCTGTATTCGTTGTAACTGATTTCCCAGTATAGATGTGTACCTTCAAGAAATATGAATACACATGTAATTCGAGTAATTTTTCACGATTCTATTCACTCTCATAATTGAGTGTGATTCACAACTGCCCACGACCAGGTGGATATGTACTACACTGGTGTGAAATGCACACGTTCCTCTAGGACTTTTGTCGCACGTTCACAGTCGCACTGAAATTTGATTTTTTTAAACTCGACCACCGTCATTCAGGACAGACTGGGGTGGTAGTGGGGGGTCATTTCCAATCAAACTAACCGTATAAGTGGTTATCCAATTGTTGATGGTTCAAAAGGTATCAATGGTTTTTCATTTCTGTAAAAAGAATTGGATACAATGAAACTATGTCACATTTGTGATTTTTACTTCCAAAAATTTCATCCACATTGATTTACCTTTCCACAGAAATAATTTTATGACATGTATTACTTTTTATCAATGACCTGAGGAAAATGTTCTCTTCCTTGAGTTTCGTCATTGAATGAAATATTCAAGTCGATTTTCAAATGCCGCTGGCAGATTCAAAAACTACCCCAGGAAGATAACCAATCATCAAAAAAGTTGCCCATTTCGAAATGGTATAACATATGGGTTTATTCAAAACAGCCTTATTGTTATTGATTTGTTTCCAAATGGGTCGCATTTTTCAGAAAAAATGAATAACTTTTGAACCTTGAATTTTCAATCAATTATAGCCTGGCCAAGATTTTTTCGGGCAACCCATTCTTTTTTAATTCCAAACGTGCTAAATTACTCGCGTTGGGCACAGTTTTTGACAACGAGCCGAGCTTTATGCTTCACTATTCTACCAGTGATATCTCGTTTTGTCCTGAAGACCTATTTGTTGTTGAGTGGTACCTTTTCAGGAGGTAGATTCATGAGCTCCCATGTTCCGGAAACGACCAAGAATCACACATTAGCCTTGTCACAGACAACGAGCCGAGCTCAATGCTTCACTATATTCTACCAGTGACATCTTGTTTTGCCCTGAAGACCCATTTGTTGTTGAGTGGTGGGGTAGAGGTGGGGAATGGTGGCCCTGAAGGTAATCACGGCCGTCAGGTATTTCGAAGATGAACAATATTTTAGTTATTTCAACATGCTGCGCCATCTGTTAGAACAATTTGAAATGTGTGCCTGAAATGGTGTGACTGTAAAATGCTTGACAGATATGAGAAATGCGTCAACAAATTTTCGAGTGCGTTGATATAGTGTAACGAAGTTTTGGAAGGTATGTTTATCAACATTATTTTCAAGTATATAATTAAGATCAATATAGTCGCATGATGTAAATGTTACCTACTTTACTCCAGTTTAATTAATTTTGGCTAAATTTACTGATTGTTGAGGATGTCGATGGAAACATATTTATAGGTTAAATTCGGGTAATCCCAGTCAGCGCTGTGCTAGTAATGGCTAACGGCCGTCATTGCCTTACTATGCGCGCCGGAGAATGTTATAGCAATGTAGCCATTAGCATATTCGCTGTATTGAGACAAATAATTCAATTACAGATGCCAACTAAATATATTAGAAAAACCACAAAAGCCATGTGGTCTTCAGAACAAATGGAAGCCGCATTAAATGCCATTCGTGATGGTAGGAGAATCAGAGAAGTTTCTAGGGCATTTGGTATTGCTAGGAGCACATGAGGCTTGCGCCGACAATGCACGTGACGAGTATATTTGTGACGTTTGCCTTTGAAATATAATGTACATTCAAACACTGGGCAATGACGGCCTATAGGCCACCATTACCTCATCGTGGAAGGTAATGACGGCCACTGAATAAGTTCAAAAACTGCCTTGTATTTTTCTTAGTTTTGTTAATTTCTTAATTTGATAATATACATTTCATACCTTAGGTTATACTAACTCACATTTGACAATTTTTCTGCATCTTTGTAAAACAGATAAAAATAATATTCACAAAATAGCTTAGGCGGCTGTCATTCCCCACCTCTACCCTACTTCTTTAGGGGGTAGATTCATGAGCTCCAATGTTCTGGAAACTACCAAGAATCACCCAATGTCACAGACATTGATGACATTTGAAATTTATCGAAATAACCAAAATAAATTCCTGGCGTTAGGAAACAGGGATTGAAATCGTTTGAGAAACTTAGGAAGGGTAAACCGATAATGGAAAATCTTCGTTGGAATCCATATCACCTATCGATTAAAATGCATACAATTGGGCATTATTAGGCAAATTATTGATCCTCAATAGGTTAGAGTAACTGGATAGTATTAGTAGATAAGAGTCGGACACAGCTGAACTAATGTCCTTCTCTATTTTCTATTATATTATAATGTTGAAAAGGAATATTCTCAGATAAATTATGAACATACAAAAATGGATATATATTTATATAAAGCAATACATTGAGAATTCGCATTCTCTATGTGATGAGAATATTTACTCTTTTTCAGTTAATTCAATACAAAACAACTACTTTCCTGGCTATATGCCACGACGAACATTGAATTATATCTATTGAACACACACGATAAGAGTTTGAAAATAAAATATAAAAACATTTCTGAAATTGAGAATTTGCATTCTCCTTCAGACAAGAATATGTATATACACACATCATTCTGAATATTCAACAGAAAACAACTACTTTCCTGGCTATTTGCCACGTCGAACATTGAATTATATAATATATATTATAATGGTTTGAGTGACTAAAAGAATAAGACATATATGCTGCTTTTTGTCTTTTCCATTTTCCTAATAGCACCTGATTGTCAATTGTCATATACAATTTTAGAGGTTCAATTTTTTGTCAAATCTATCATAGCCGTAGATGGAGAATAGAAATAGGGCATAAACACCTACTTCAATTTTCAGCGATACACTCTTCGCAGAACATCAATTATAAAAATGGAAAGAATGCATGTGACAGTATTTTTACACGATAATATAGACATATATCAATAAACTCATAGGGTTGAAAGTGATGTGCTCAATTCTCCTAGATTGGCGGAAGAGGAAAAACTTCATTTTTTCCTCTGGGAAATTATGAAGTTTTCTCTTCGAAAAATTGAATAAATGAGATTTTCAAAATTCTCACAATGAATTCATGTTTTTTTTTCTAAATAGTTAATTGAATTATATTTCAATTCTGACGTTTACAGAATGTATTGTCAATTCGAAACAATATTGAATATAAAGGCGCGGGATGATTATTGTACTCTTGTCACAATGAAAGGTGTGTAACCTGAATGAATAAAAACAATTAGAAACACTAACACTATCCACTTGAAAAGTCCCAGAATTTCGGAGTGTTAACTTTAATTTATGTCTACGTATTAATTCATCTACTATTTTGATATCATAGCCTTTGACGCCAGCCACTTTACTACTAGGTCAACATTCTGCGTAAAATGGTCTATTGCCAGTTCAAAGTTGAAATTGTCACTTTGATAATTTCGTATGTTTTCAGACAAATAAAGTTGTACAACTATCTACTTAAAAGCTCACCTGCATTCATGACTAAAATATCGATCCCTCCATACTCCTGAGCCTGCTCGATCAAATTCTTTCTTTCATCAGCTTTTGATACGTGACACACTACACCTTTCACTTCATATCCTTTGTTTCGAAGTTTTTGTGTTGCTTCTTGAACATGGTTTTCTTTTCTGCTGGATATCACTACCTGAAATCCATTGATGTTTCAGGTCATGAATGATTAGTTCAGGATAAGTTGGGTCATGATTGATGGACTAGACAGGTGACTTTGTAGCTCTTCTGATGTGATCAATCATCAATTTAAATATAATAATTGATTTGAACATGCAAATCTGTGCAATTGAATGACTCTCAGTCAGAGAAATTTGTCAGAAAAAATTCTCATAATGTGAAATAAAAAGCTCGACAGAGCTCACTTCCAATATTAAGGAAATCGACCCTGAACAAGAAATATTTGTCTGCAGAGAATATCCATTTATGATCATGAACTTGACGGCCTACTTCATGAGACCAATTTCCACACAACGTTAATGTCACAAAGTGCTGCAGATATTCAATGAATATGGTCGGTTTACCCCATCTCGATAATATTATTATAAAAGATTACAATCCTCCTTCTTTCTACCACTACACGAATAGATCCGATGAAAGCTGGCCAGCGACGTATCATAAATGCTCATTACGATTGTGTGCGAATATGATGAGAAATATCCGAGAGAGATTAATAAAGGGAATTTTAAAATTAAAAATGGCTACAAGACGTCCAAACTGAAATATTCCGAGAATTATCAGAAAGCAATGGACATATCTGGGAAGACAGTCAGAAGAACAGAAGATTCGAAATAGGTCTGCCCTGGAAGAAAGAGAATTTCGTTCTACCTGAAAGTGAGATAGCCGCAATCAACAGACTGAGATTCATAGAAAAAATGATGGACAGTGATGAAGAATTTCCAGAAAATATTGCAACAATATTGATAATTTTCTCACGAAAAAACAAGCAGAGAAACTATCCTTTGGAGAATCCTGATGACAACGGACGAGTTCGGTATCTACCACGCTTTAGGGTGAGAAATCCGAATAAGCCTGGGAAATGCAGGCTTGTCTCCGATGCAGCAACAAAAATATCTGGCGTGAGCCTCAACGATCACCTTCTTGCAGGCCCAGGTATGTATCCATTTCTGGTGGCAATATTGTACAAGTTTTGGGAATACAAGTATGCATATTGTGGAGCTATCCACCAAGTATTGATTCGGAAGGAAGACAACGTTTGCCAGAGATTTTCAAACAGGGACATGGACAGAGAAAGGGAGCCAAACGTTTACGAGATGCGTGTCATGATATGTGGATCCGAAGGTTCTCCATCAATATCCCAATTCGTTGAGGATTATGTGAACGACGTCATGTAGTCCACAAAGCTGGAAGATTTGACATGATGAATTGGTTGAGAAATTCTAAAGAAGTATCTGAATCCATTCCAGAAAGTCAAAGTGCAAAAATAAAATCACTGAACTGGTGCTAGAAAAATCTGAAGAGAGTTTTGGGACTTTCCTGGAATACCAATGACGAGACCTCTGTATTTTAATTCGACTTGTCGAAAATTCCCTCAGAACTTTTGGATGGCCAAAGGATTCCTAAAAAGAGAGATCTTCTGCAAATCATCATGACTATTGGGTGTCATAACCGATTGGGTGTCTGTCTCTTCTCATTATGAAAGGAAGATTGATACTTCAAGATTGCTGAAGGAATTCCGTAGGATGAAAAGAAAAAATGTTGCAGAAGATATTATGAAAAATTGGCGAAGGTGGTGTGAAAGCATAAAGAGTATTTCAACATTCACAATACCAAGATCTCTTTCCCATGAAGAGAGGTACTGAACATGTTCGAATGCACGTATTTTGTGCGATAGAAGTGGTCAAGCATTTGCAGAAGATGCCTAACATCGTAGCAAATCATATAATAACGAGATAATAGTATATCTGGTTTCGTCGAAATGTAAAATAGGACCAATTCATAAAATGTTGTATGTGCCTTGGATTGAAATTGAAGTGTTGAGTTGGCAGATAGAATACAAGAAATTTTGGAATCGACCGATATATTGAAATGGAAATAGAAATGGGTACCGTCAAATTCTGATGCTGCTGATTTGGCTATCAAACAAAAGGACGACATTAATTTTTCCACTGATTCGTTTTGGCTACAAGGTCCAGTTTTTTATGAAAAGGTCAGGAGAATCTTGGCCAGTAGAAGGAAAGGAAGGAGAAATAAGTAACATATCGGAGGAAGGATACATTAACTCTCTTGTTGAGAAGACAGATTTTTTACCAAATGTCCGAAGATTTTCTGAACAGTTAAGGATTGTGAGATGTACCGCATGGATGATGATATTTGTATGCAATTTAAAGGATAATGTGACGAATCAAGATGGAGAGCTCACGGTTGAAGGAATAATCAAGGCAAAAAACATTTGGTGAAGGAAAGTTCAGGAATATCATTTCATCATTTGATGTGAATTGCAAGTTGAAATATTTATTTTTGCCATTTGGCATATTTGACATATTTTTGACGACGTCTGCTTCGATAACGCCTCCGTCTACTCGAAATCTGAAGTAACAGTGAAATTCACAAACAAAAACAAATCGAATGTACTAATTTCAGCGTTGAATAACAACATTCAGATATCGTCCTAAAACAAATATGGGAACCAGTTCACAGGACAAATGAGCATCTGCCTGCTCTGGTCCGCCGTTTGCTCATTTTTTTCTTCAAAATAAGTTGCAGATATTATTTGCATTCCCTATCATTTGATGCAAATTGCAAGTTGCATGATTTTTTTTTGTCACACTAGTACGGGAAAAACATTTTCATAATATTCTCGCAATTAGCAAGATGAGCCGTTTCAGGAAAATTTCGTCTGAAGAAACCACGAAAATATGAGGAAATCCATTCCGCAAACTACCATTCAAAAGAAGTAGACCTATGTTTTACACAGTTTTCCAAACTTATATCTCTTACCATGAAAAAATTTGAATATGTCATCATCGGTGGCGATTTAAATATAGATCGATTCAGTAACACATTGAATGCAAAAATGTTATTCGATGTACTGAAATCTTTTGGAATGACATCGTTGATTTCTCAATTCACAAGAGTTTTCTCAGGCGTAACATATACCAGCTATACCTCTATAGATTATGTGATCACCAATGCACCATATATTCGGAAAACATCCAATTTTGATCCTGGACTATTGGATCATCACTGTCAGACAGTGCAATGTAATACATCGGACAAAACCTAATATATATTGAACATACATACCCACAGAACACATTCTTTCAGAAAGTTTGAAGACAGTTCTATGAATGATTTGAGAAAGCAGCTTCCCAAAGTGAGTTTTGATATAAATAAATACTGATGCTGACGTCAATCATGTTTTTGCACACTTGTTGGCCACATTCCTTCGGTGTTTCGACAATGCGTTTGAAAGGAACAGATGAATCTCAAACAAACCCAGAACTGAACCTGAATTTTTTTTTTTTTAAAGCTAATCAAATGAATTGGAAGTAAAAACATTTTTTAATCAAAAACTTTTATTCAAACGCTCTAAAATTAATGAAATAAAGTGTTTTCTCATAATTCAATTCGATTTCAATTTAATTGAATATTGATCATCGCGACAAGTTTTTATGATCATATAAATTGTGTATAATGAGGTTATGAGTTGATAGTTGAAATTATGAAGGAACAATTCATTTCGTTTCTTTTAGAGAGTTTGAATAAAAGTTTTCATCAAAATTTTTTTTTACTTTCAATTCATTATAAAATTCTCAGTTTTCGCTGGCTAGGTTTTTCAGCCTGTTCATTTTATTCAACGCATCATTGTTGCAAGGTCTTTTGCCTGTTAATTTCGAACAGTACGGCTGTTCAATGAGGAGACTTAATGATTTTACATTTCCGAGTTGCTCTCAACGAGACCTTCCATTTGATACCCTCATTGTAGAAGTGGATTGAAAATTACTATTCCGACATCTTGGATAGTCCGTCATATCGGATTCCTTCCATTCGATATCCATCATATTGTAGAAGTGCATTAAAAATACCTATTTCGTCATCTTGGATGGTCCGCCATATTGGATTCAGAATGACGTCACATTATTTTTCGAGTAACTCTCAAAAAGTCCTTTCATTTGATACCCATATTGTAGAAGTGCATTAAAAATAACTATTTCGTCATCTTGGCTGGTCCGCCATATTGGATTCAGAATGACGTCACATCATTCTATGAATCACTCTCAACGCTTCCTTTCATTTGATACCCATATTTTAGGAGTGCATTGAAAATAAATATTCCGCCATCTTGGATGGTCCGCCATATTGAATTCACAATGACGTCACTCAATCGGTTGAAGATATCAACTTCAAAATCGAGTTCTAAGATTCCACCCGAACTAACATACATCCATACATTGCAATAAGTTGAATAAAAGCTTTCAACTTTTAAAAAGGAGAGAATCATTGAACGTAGACTGGATGCGTGAAACAATATATGATGAAAACCTCAGCATTAATAACGAACTCTTAAAAAAAGAAGTAGATAAACAAATTGAATTAGGAAAGAAAAATCATTACAAAAACATCATTGACAACTACAGCAACAAGAATGATGCAAAGGGCACAACAAAATGTAATAACCAAAATCAACTATGAAAATGAAGTAATAACTGATTCGAAAGATGGAAAGATTTTCTTCGTGCCTTGAATTAGCATCAGTTATTTTACTTTACAAAAAAGGTGATCCTAGTGATATCGAAAACTATCGACCAAGTTCTTTATTGAGCATGTTTTCTAATACCTGTGTTCTTTCAATATACAGGGTGTTTCAGTTTTTCGTAGCAGGACTTTAACAATTTGAAAAAGACATTTTTTTAAGACGAAAATCTCATTCAAACAAATATGCGTGGAAGCTCCGTTTCCGATTTACAGGGTGTCAAAATTTCAGATTTTTTTTATGTTTCTTGAATTTTCTCCTACAATTTTCAGAATAACTGATTGAAATTTGGTGAACCTGATACACTTCAAAAACTCAATATTTGAGGCTATTGAGCGATTTTGATACAGGGTGATAGACTTTTAGGGGTCGTACCCAATTTAACCCTGTAAAACTTTTTTGCGTGCCGCCTCTGCTTTCGATGGGGCATAGATTCAGATTGTCCTTTCAATTTGGAAACTTTTTGCACCTATGTAAATTTTTCGATAACTGTATGGATCTCGAGAAAAATGCCAAAAATAAATTACTTGTAATAAAACCGTTATTTCTCAAACACACTTATTTGACATTTCTCAAACATTTTATTGGAAAATAGAATGACCGAAAGCTTCCATACCAAATGAAATTCAGTTGCAAAATTAGATTGAATTTTTTGAACACCATTATAATTAAAACTAGGAAAAACGAAGAAAATATGTTTTTTTCTGCAACCGACACAAAAGTCGTCCATTTTGATACCAATATCAGCTCTTAAATTGACGTTTCTATTACTGACACAAAAATAGGTATGTTGCTAGGCAACATATTTATAGTTCCTAGGAGCTAAAGTTGAATTTTAGTTCCTAGGAGCTAAAGTTGAACTTTAGCTCCTAGGAACTAAAAAGGATGTACTGGACGTCATCAAGAATAAACAACATTGTGACGGTTGGTTATTTGGGTTGAGACGCATACCTGATTTGTTTCCGATTTCAGCAGATTTGGCATTTCATACCCATGTTGGAGATATAAATACACCTTATTATAGTTTATTGGAATTACAAACATCTGAGTTGAGTATTTTTGTTCTGATCAGAGAAGCCTTCAAGATTCAAATACTTGCTTGATCTGTATTTCATTCGTTATTCTCGGGATGGATAACTTTTTTCCGAATAATCACGGCAAGCAATAGTTTTTTTGTCTCAAACAACGATATTGTTTAGCTTCATTTGGTTATCAAGTCAAACACAGTGTAGTATGGAGGGGAATAAATAATCACTATCATCATTGTTGATATGCTCACTAACCTAACATTTTCCACGTCTTGTTGCTATAGCTGGCACTGGCGCGGTATTTGCCATTATAGGGCACCTGGTCCATACACAAATATATCACTCTGAGATTGTATTTATATCGAAACTACAATTCGAACATCCTAGAAAACCTAACCTGCTGTTAATGCAGGTAGAATATCCTCACCACATGGATTATTTGTCAATATTTGTTGCATTGCATACATATGGCACGGCATTGGTGGTTACTTCACATGTTTATGTTGGTTAATTGTTTCGGTTGCAGAAAAAATAGCATGTTTCATTCGGATCAAAAGTGACTTTGTTCGACTCGCAAATTTTGCTTTTGCTCGGCTTCGCTAAACGCTCCGCCTCGCAAATGCAGAATTCGCTTGTCAAACAAAGTGTCACTTTTGATCCTAATAAAACAATCTACTATTACCCTCTAACTGGATTGCAAAATCTGAATAACTGAAACTGGTTAAACTTTCGATATCATCAGGGACTGTATGACACACGGTCTAGGCGCTATACATCGCTAGACTGTCGCTTCTGACGGTTGACGGTTGAGGTGTTGTGAGTTTCAATAATTCAATCTCGTGAACGGCAGTTCTGATTTCATCAGTACCCTCAGAAGTGGTTCGGATTCTACTCTTATTTCTCTCGAAATCCATACAGTTTTCAAAAAAAATACATAGGAGCAAAAAGTTTCCAAATTGCAGAGGCAATCTGAATCTATGTCCCATTGAAAGCAGAGGCGGCACGAAAAAAAGTTCGACAGGGTTAAATTGGGTACGACCCCTGAAAGTCTATCACCCTGTAGGTATTCAAAAACGCTCAATAGCCTCAAATATTGAGTTTTTGAAGTGTATTAGGTGTACCAAATTCCAATCAATTATTCCGAAAATTGTAGGAGAAAATTCAAAAAACATTAAAAAAATCTGGAACTTCGACACCCTGTAAATAGGGAACGAAGCTCCCGCGCATATATGTTTGTCTGAGATTTTCATCTTAAACAAATGTCTCCTTCAAGCTGTTAAAGTCCTGCAAAAAAAAACTGAAACACCCTGTATAATCACAAATAACCAACATGGTTTCAGAAGTGGATTCTCCACAGAAACCAGTACCAGTACGCCCAGCATATCTATGAAAAAATGATTCGAGGTGAATATGTGGTGTCCCTACTATTCGACTCAACATTTTGTTTACATTGAACTACTTGTCAAAATCAATCTGACCAATCTTACCATTTCCTTCATCTTGTTTCTTTCGATCAATCTCATGTGTGAGTAACAATGAGATCAATTATTAATCCTCTAAGGAAATAAAACGCAACTTTTTAATCGTCGTTCAATATAATAACACGAATGATGTTTCATTTCCATCCATTTGATCACTCATAACAGAAGGACATAGTATTGATTTGACTAGTGAAATTTGCTAGTGTCTTCCTATCAAATTGGTGATCAATCGGTTTGTTTTCATTTTCTCGCCGAATAAAAAAGTTTTTGTAGAAAATTGAAAGAATTATCGGTAATATTTTAGGAACTCGTGTTTTTTAATCGTCTTCCAATATAATAACACAAACGATGTTTCATTTCCATCCTCGCTTGTAGTCACTGCAAAGGTATGCCATACACATCACCTTTAGAACCATTCGATCAATCATAATAAAAGCACAGTATTGATTTGACTGGTGAAATACTAGTGTCTCTATCAAATTGGTGATCAAGCGGTTTGTTTTCATTTTATTGCCAAATTAAGAAGTTTCCGTAGTTAATTGAAAAAATTATCGGTAATATTTTAGGAACTCGTGTTTTGTAATCGTCTATCAATATGATAACACAAACGATGTTTCATTTGCATCCTCGCTTGTAGTCACTGCAAAGGTATGCCATACACATCACCTTTAGAACCATTAGATCAATCATAATAAAAGGACAAAGTATTGATTTGACTGGCGAAATTTGCTAGTGTCTTCCCATCAAATTGGTGATCAATCGGTTTGTTCTCATTTTATTGCCTAATAAAGAGTTCTCGTAGGAAATTGAAAAAATCATCGGTGATATTTTGGGAACTCGTGGTTTCAAAATCGTCTTTCAATATGATAACACAAACGATGTTTCATTTCCATCCTCGCTTGTAGTCACTGCAAAGGTATGCCATACACATCACCTCTAGAACCATTTGGTCAATCATAATAGAAGGACAAAGTATTGATTTGACTGGTGAGATTAACTAGTGTCTTTCTATCAAATTGGTGATCAATCGGTTTCTTCTCATTTTATTGCCAAATAAAGAGTTCTCGTAGGAAATTGAAAGAATCATCGGTGATATTTTGGGAACTCGTGGTTTCAAAATCGTCTTTCAATATGATAACACAAATGATGTTTCATTTCCATCCTCGCTTGTAGTCACTGCAAAGGTATGCCATACACTTCACCTTCAGAACCAATTCGTCAATCATAATAGAAGGACAAAGTACTGATTTGACTGGTGAAATTTGCTTGTGTCTTTCTATCAAATTGGGGATCAATCGGTTTGTTTTCATTTTATTGCCAAACAAAAAAATTTTCGTAGAAAATTGAAAAAATTATCGGTAATATTTCAGGAACTCGTGGTATCACCTTCGATAACATACGTTATTTTCAAGAAGGGATCCTAAGACAAATTATCAGTTTGATGTACCTTACCTTTGCTCCTTCTTTAGCAAACCGTTCAGCAATCGCGAAACCAATTCCGTTTGTAGAACCAGTAACAACCACTGATTTGTTGTGAAAACGTTGCATGGCGGCTAAAATCACACAAAACGTGTAAGTTGTTTGGTACTATCTGTTCAGTTCGAGAAACATAAAATCATCGAATGCAGAATGTGGCGAATGATTCATATTCAATTGTAACAACGGTAATACTTCAACAGGTATTGATGAAGAATTTGCGATATATGTTTCGAGTAACACAAATATGTTCAATATTGTACAAGAAATGCCCTGTTGTCAGTTTCGATAGCAACCCAGGCAACGAGATGACAAATGATCACGTCACTGTGACGTCCCTAATTGGCGATTTTCTGTCAGAGACCTCACATACCAATTTATGACGTCACTATGAGGTACTTTTTATGGCGTGATAATCACGTCATCCTCTCGACGTCGAGTTAACGTCACCTAGAGGGGTAAAATGAGACGTCAGTTTCATGACGTTGCAGGGACCATCTCTGAACCATGTATACTTACATCTTCATGTGAAACCGTAAGGTTTGTGACGTACCTATATATACAGGAGGGCATTTTCAGTGTCAGTTTTCAGAAAAAATAGTTTTTTCATTTCCACACACAAATTTGTAATTCTATTTATATGCTCACTAACGTTGATAGAAGTATAACTCAATTATAAATACTCAAAAAGTAGAAGAAAACTTCTTATTTAAACTCTGACACCCTCTATCGCAAACCAATCAAGCCATATATGTATATATACAGATGATAATATAGGTGTACCTTTTGAAACCATCACTTTCATGACGTTGCAGTGACGTATGTTTGACTTCTGAAAATCACGTCAGTGTGACGTACCAATTCGGTGTGTTTCGTTATTCAGAAAATTTTCTAATAATTTGATATTTAGATTTTTGTTGAGTGACAGGGAGTGCATGAATATACGTTACCTAACAAAGTGAAGCTGAATTCACAACATCCTTTTTATTGCTATCAAACTATTCTTGTTTTGCTTACATCTCGCCGACACAAACTACATTATTTTTCATACAAATACGAGTTACTGATATAATTATGATGGAGATGCGTACTGAAGGATAGTGCTGCTGAAAAGACGATTGTATGGACATGACTCCAGAGGGACCACCAAGCAGACTCAACAATTTATAATCAATATTATATATCATCAAATGTCAGTGGTGTTTCATCACACTATGTTTGAAAAAAAAATTTTCACCAAATTGAACGTCATTTTGACGTCATTTCGACGTCAGTTCGACGTCACAGTTTGGTGAGTGAATGACGCCAATGAACTTGTGTAATATGACGTCATTTGGGCTGTGACTTATTCAAGTCATTCATCACGTCATACGACGTCACCTTGGTCATTCAACTGATGAAAAAGACCTCACTGGAATGTCATCGGGTTGACTGGAAGTTAACAACCAATATTTATAGACTCTTTCATCATTTCATTATTTTCAGGGATTTTTAGTAGATGAGCCACACTACATATCCATATATGGAGTTTCACATCGGTCCATCGGATATTATCTTTCGGGAGGAGCGGAATATTCTCGGAAATATTGACGCTGTGCTACTAACTTTCATCAGTTTGAATCACGACACAGGTTGGTTTCTGAAATCTACCCTTCTATTGGTATGAGATGGCATAATCGAAAGTAAAACTCACATGGGTTGAAATATCCGAAAATCGCACAGTGAAAGGGGCTAAAGATTATAATGTACCAATGAATGATTATAATGCTGAATTATGGTAAGTTAAGTTATGGTTAAGTTAATGGAAAGTTAGTGTCGATTCAACATGAGTTATTGTCGTGAATGTTGACGTATTGTTGAGTTGATGAAACGTTGAAATCAAGTTAATTCCAATTGAGAGTTGAATTAATGTCAATGCATTGGCAATTTAGTGATTAATGTGAAGTTAATGTCAATTTGATATTGGGTTGATGTTTATTTGATTTCAAGGTGATAGATGTCAAGTTGATTTTGAGTTGATGTTGATTCAATGTCGATTTAATGTCGAATAATTATTGAGTTAATGTTAAGTTGACGTTGAGTCAATGTAAGGTCAATTTTGAGTTGATGTTAAGTTGATGTTCAGTTAATGTTAAGTTCATATTAAGTTGATGTCAAGTTTAATAACTTCACAGACGATAAGATCTCCACAAATTTTTTAACACACGACATGTTTCGCTAACACAGTAGCTTCGTCAGGTGATATACTGGTACAATGAACTCATTGGGAAATGAGGTAGGAATTGGTGTTCTCCTTAAATTTCTGGAGGTTATAAGCCACGGGGAACACCTCCCTTGACAATGTGTTCCAGAGCCTCGCTGTTCGTTGGATGAATGAGTCTTTGGAAAGATATGTTCTGCAGGTCTCCAAAGTGACCACGAAGGGGTGCGAAGCCTCAACGTTCGATGATGGCTTTATTACTGAAACATATACAGGGGGGATTTCCCTTTTCGCATGCGTGTGGTGGGCCCTGATCTAACGATTCCTATATTACATCGTCTACTCCGATCCTCCAGCCACTACGGAGAAGTTGAAAGACAAAATTCGACAGGCAATTAACAACATTGCTATTGAAATAGGAATATGTGTCAGCGGGTATTCCAACATTCAAGAGAATCATTGGAGGAGTGCTATGAGAAGGATGGACGACATTTGGACAAAATTGTGTTTGAGAAGCGGAATCCGGAATGAATAAATTGTAACTATTCGATAAATAGAAAATAAAAAGACATGAGAACAGTTCATTCGCATTATTCTTTGAAACCCACTTATGTTCTTGGATACCTGCCGTTTTCGAGAGATTCGCTGGGCTTACAGATACCAATCTGGTCTCAAAACAAATCTCATTGAATTCTGTTCAACTTCATCACATATGATATTCCACTTGGAGAGCGTATTATAGAAGATAACTCACAAAATATGTATTTATTTTAAAGAAATTCCACTAGTTCGAAAAAGTTGCCTACTTTTAAAGAACTGTATCTTGGGAACCAATAGCTGTATCGGGCTCATCTTGGCCCCAAATTATAGCAAATTCAGTTCAATTCATAAAGTATAAAAGAGTGACTATACCGGTCAAACCCGTCCTTCTCTAAGATATTGGGCAAAAACTGGAAAAAGTCCGAAAATTTCGTTGTTTTTTGGGTATATTGCCACTCGCACAGCATTTTGGAAATTGCGAATCTGGGTTTTTGATATTGGTTCAGGTCCTTACAACATAATATAAAGAATTCAGAACGGCAGGACCTTTTGCGAGCACGAACCCCTTTCATGTTCAACTTTACTGAACTATGATTGGCAGGCATCTTCTATCAGTCTTCTCCATAATTAATTTGGAGTAATCAATTATCTGGCATTCTCATTCTATGATTCGATTCGAAAAAATTGCGAATTTGGTGGTTGTTTAGTGATTTACGTAACGCGAAGTGGAATGGAAAATAGAAGGACTTGCAACTATTTCTCGGAGACGCAGTGTTATTGGCTTATTTTTCTAATTAGCACAACAAAAGCCATCAACAGCGTGCACCTAAATGAATCCGAGAAAGAAGTGCCTACTTTTTTCCCGTAGGAGAGAATGAGTTCATGAAAACTGATATTTTATAACCTGTCAATAAGGATGAAATGTCGAACTCTTTTCCCGTCACGGAATTTTTTTTTAGGATCAATTAATTATTCTCAAGTTAATTTAGTCCGCTGTAAAAACATTCTAAAAGAAAAACGTCAGATGATAAGTTTCAATTTATGTAGTTGAAGTTGCCTTGAAGAACTCTTCAAGAATATATGTTGAATCATTGTCGATCTAAATGAAAACCTAGTAGGCGACCAAGTGCGAGGAGGTAATGTTGAATTTAAACTCAATGATACAGTTTTTCCAAATCAAGTCTCAAATGCCTTTTCAGGATGAGATATTTTCCACTAGAATCTGCTTTCAGAGTTTTTTTGAGGATCACATGGTCTTATCAGGAATTTTATTGTGTGATTTCAAAGCGATCTTGTAGATCGGAATAAGGGTATTATTGTTACTTGGGTTGGGTTGAATATTCATATTTCGAGCTCAGGATTTTGAAGCTGAAATATTCCCAATTAGTATTGAAAAATCCTATACATATTGTATACCAATGTTTTAGATATGTTCTGTTTCACCTATACATACCTTGATATCAATCACCAGGTGTTCTATATAAAACTTGAGATACTATCAGGAGTCAGGACCAATTACCTATACATATAGTAAACACGAAGCAGGTATGTGAATTATCATTCATCAAAACTCTCTATGCTCCACGAAGTATAATAATATATGATGTGGAAGCAAATATTCAAATGATGATAACTTAATTGGTTCCAAAATAAGCTCTTCAAACTTTCAGATCAAGAAATCGATTTTTTCTGCAACCGACACAAAAGTCGTCCATTCTAATACCAACTTACTTTACGTTTCTATTATTGTTTTTATCAGGAAAGCCTTCAAGATTCACATACTTGCTTGATCTGTATTTCATTCATTAATCTTATTCCGAGTCTTATTCAGATGGACAACTTGTTTTGATAAATCACGGCCAGTAATAGTTTTCGTCTCAAACAACGATTTTACTTATATCTTCTTTCGATTATCAAGCCAAACACAGTGGAGTATGGAGAGAAATAAATAATCGCTATTATTTTTGTTGATATGCTCACTTACCGAATATTTTCCACGTCATTTTCCTATACCTGGCACTGGCACGGAATTTGCTATTAGAGCACCTGATCCATACACAAATGTCACTCTGTGATTGTGTTTATGGCTCAAGTTTCGTTTAGCTGAAATCAGTTATGGAAAATATGTAGCCATGGCAACGAATGTCATGACAACGAGTGAACAAAAACCCAATTCCCGTGATGAGAAAATGCGTGGTTGCCGAGTTGTATCGGGTTTAGTTTGGCTGAAATCAGATTTGGAAAAACTATTGCCATGGCACGATCATCATGGTAATGAGTAGAGTATACAAAAAATCCGATTCTCGTGGAGAGGAAATGCGTGGTTGCCAAGTTGTA